GTGTGGTGGCCAGCAGAGCCAGTGCTGACAAAGGGGGGTGGGCAGCATGCCTGCCACAGTGAGCCCAGGGCAGACCGACATGCCAGGCATGGCCCGTAGGGTGGGATTGGCCCTCCACGTGGGTCACGTCTACACAGTCTGTGGGAAATCCTCCCAAGTGGCCCAGACAAATGCATGTCAGTCACTCAACCGTTCATCAGCTCTGAAGACAGGCCACAAGCCGGTGCACTGCGGGTGCAAAACAATGGAGATGGAGACCTTGCTCCACCAAGGCTGGGGTTCTGTGTACACCGAATGCCTAAAAACTCGTCCTATAGCCACTCATCCAGAAAAAAAGGTGTGTCTTCCTACTTAACAAAAATTATACATTCATTCCAGAGTGTAAAGTCAACAACATGGAACTGTGCCTAGTCCTAATAAACTCAAAATTCCATTCTAGATGAAGTATTAACCAAAGTATATATACAATAATAGCCGATTTGTACTATTGTTTTAAAAAAAATCTGCTTAATACAGATATGTAATGACTACACTGATTCAACCTTTATAGTGACCAACTTTAAAAGTTTTTCCAAAGTCAATTTTATTACTGATGAATACAAAAGACCTTGCAGATCTATTTACTTCCTTTGAGAAACATATGAAACACTAATATTATAGAAACCAGAAACCTGGCTTGAAATTCTGGACAGCAGATACAGAAATAACTGCAGAAGACATACAGATGGCTACCAGATAAGCCAAGAAAAGTTTAGCATCACTAATCCTGGGGAAACACAAACCAAAGCCCCATGAGCTACTGAGCTGTCACCTCCCTCCATTACGAATGGCAACTATCAAAAAGACCAAAGTTAACAAGTGCTGGTAAAGATGTGGAGAAAGAGAATTCTTGCTCCCTGTTGACAAGGATGTCAATTACTGTGCCACCATGGGAAAAAGGTTCCTCAAAATATTAAAATCACAATTACCATACGAAGCAGCCCCTCCACCAGACACAGACCCAAAAGGAATGAAATCAATCTGTCAAGGAGACACCTGCAACAACAGCCAAAGAGGAAATAACTTACATGCCTGTCGCTGGCTGAAAGGGCATAGAAAATGTGGTGCTGGTACCCCATGGAATACTATTCAGCCACCAAAAGAACGAAATCCTGTCATTTGTGACAACACGGACAAAGTGGAGCTCAGTTCATTCAGTGCAGTAAGCCAGCACAGAAAGACGACTATGCAGCTTACTGCATACATGACATCGTATGTCATATGACATCAACACATCACCTTATCCCTACGTGGCATCTAAAAACATTGATCTCCCAGACATGGAGAACACGGTGGTGGTTTCCAGAGGCTGGGGAGAGGACAAGGGAGGGAAGGGCAGGGAAAGTTTAGTCAGTGGGTGTCAGCGACAGTGAGGCACAAGTAGGTGCTGGGCGCTACTGTGCAGCAAGCATTGAGCAACCCTGCATCAGTAAGAACTGCACACTGTGCATCTTAAAAGGCTGAGAAAATGGCTAAGTCCAACCACTTTTAACAAAAAAAGGGACTCAAAAAAAAAAAAAAAACGAAGACTGCACACTGAAGTGGCCGCAAGGCCAGGCATTGCAAACTCTCCCAGCCCTGCAGCCCAAACCATCCGGAAGCCCAGACACATCTGCAACTGACCAAGGGGCTTGAATCCCCTTCCCAACACATCATCTCCTTGGCGATTCTGTACTGATAGAGACCCCGAGTGACACATGCCCAGAGACGATCCAAACGCCCATCCAGAGAGCAACTGCTCAACCGCGCTTTCTCTGGACAACGAAATTCCATTTTTCCACTAAAAAGAACAAAGCAGGTGTGTAAGTACTGACTCAGGAAGATAAATAGCATGCTGGGGAATCAAAGCACAGGAACAATATTTTTTAGGGGCCACCTTCTAAAAATGACCATGCATTGTTTCTTGGCTTTCAGCAAAGATCAAGTGTAAAAAGGACCATGCAGGTAGTTAGTTCATGTATCCTTCCACACATACGCCAAAAAGTTTACAAATGACCTTTATGCCTAATTCCCAGAAGCACGGGTACATTTTATATCATATACTTTGTTATTTGAATTTTTAAACTCAAGAGCATGTTCTAATTTTCCTAATTTTTAACTAAAAAATAATAAGTCTATCCAAGTTTCCCTTGTTATCTCCACAAAATGCAGTATCTTTCTATCAGTCCTAAATTCCTTCAGTCCTAGGAGGGGCCTCAAGCTCCCATACCCCGAGAAAGAACTGGTACCCGTGGATTCTAGACAACAGACGTGACCTGCAATCAAGCAGCTGAACGAGCTGTCAACAGAGGCGTCTGTTCCTGTGGCCTTGCTGGTCTGTGGTCAGATGGACCACCTCTAAAGTCATACCCTCCCCCCACCACAACACAGAGCTCTCCGGGTTCCTTTTCCCACAGATAACTGGGGTTTTTTCCCTCCAAGCATGAGAATGCCCAGCTCTTCCAGTTTCCTGCCAAGAGCCTCCCTTGCAGCAGCCTCTTCAGAAGCGCAAGTTCCTACCACAGGAAGTGAAGGACAATCAGGGCGTCCCTTTCTGGTCCATCCTTCAGGATCCATCCAGTAAAGGAATAATAAAATATAAAAACAAATAAATGCTGACTCCTAGAACTGCAAAATCTGCAACGGTAGATCTAGAAGAGTAAAACAAGCTGGGCACGGCGAGCACACCCGTAACCTCAGGGCTCTGGGCGACTGAAGGAGGAGAGTAAAATATTTGAGACCAACTAGGGTAACCTGTGGAGACCCTGTCTCAAAATTAAAGGGGGGAGGGCGGCTGGAAATGCAGCTCAGTGCAGCTCAGTGCCAAGGTCCTCGGTTCAATCCCCAGGTCTCCCACATATACACAACACTGTAGCAGTTGTGTTGTGGTTTTTTTAAAGACATATTCTGATGGGGATTTTTTTTTTTTTTTGCTTTGTCTTGTTTTTACAAAGAAATCAATACAGCAGACAAGCCCAGTTCCAGATATTGCTGAGGCAGAGGAAAAGATAAAGCAGACCCGATCATATCAATGGTTATGAACACACATGACGTCATGTTAAGATCTTCAAGGCTGTTACTTCTGATGTTTCTGTAACAGACACACAGAGACTATGTCATACTTTATAAAACATGATAGCAGCTAAGACCCAGCTGACAAAACCGGAGAAAAAGCGCAGCTCCAATGCCGCTGTCACACGCTCCTCGGGAATCTTTCAAAACACTGCTGGCATCTTGGAAATGAGGAGCAATATTACCTCCCCTGGGAAAACTTGCCCAGCTCCCGCAGCCAAGTTAATCGCTCACTTCCGCGTATTCCCCCGGCACGCTCTTCCTCCATCACTACCCTACCACACAATCATCTCTACACTGGCGTCTCCCTTTCCACACTCAATGGCAAGCTCCCCCAGGACAAGGACAGCAATGTATCCATCCACGTGTGCAGTCCCTCGTCAGCACCTGCCATGCAAGAAGCTACAGTGTCCCTTACCTGCTCGCAGGATGTGCTTGCTGCAGATCCATTCAAATATTTAATGAAAGCCCCGCAGTCCACGGGTCTCGACCGAGAAACCCTGGCGGTACCCACGGTGTGCTTCAGGGAATCTCAACTCTCGTGCAACTGGGGCTGCTCTCAACTTCCAGATTTTCTAATGTCACCACGACAATAGCCAGAACAGGTACACAGCTATCAGCTTTGGAAAGGCACCCAGAAGGTAAGGCAAGAAAGGGGCCACGGAGAGGCTGCGCTGAGGGGAGGAGGCACGCTCCCCAGACAGGGACGCCCCCATGCCGCTAGCAGTGCGGCAGTTCTACACACGAATGTGCCCGCAGGGTGTTCCTTTTCTCCTTATTCCTTTCACATGTTACCAGCGGTTATGAACGGTGATATCCACTGACACTACTAAACATCGCTAGATTTCCCACTACTCACTGATTTAATAAATATAATTCAAACATAGCACCGGGGTTCGATCCCCGGCACCACATGCTGTGCTGGGCCCTCCCCCAGGTTCACTGAGCCGGCCACCAAGACCAGGCATGTTGGCGCACGCCTGTAATCCCAGTGATGGGGAGGCTGAAACAGGAAGATTACTACAAATCTGAGCTGTGTAGTGAGACCCTGTACCAAATACAATACATATATACATTTCAAATATCAGTTATGTTCTGGGCACTGTGTTTTCGGGTGTTCAGACCTCAGTCACAGTCTCTAGCTCAACAGGTACGCAGTCCAACATGGCAGACACATAAATAGACATAACCCATTGGTGCTCATTGTAAAACGGTCCCCGGTGCGACAAGAACCTAGAGAAATGGCTATGAAACCATCTCCATGGCTTCCCATTCCCCCAGGGAATATGGAAAACTGTAGGACAGCCTATGCCAGCAGGAAGACCAGTGTCAAACCAAGGCACAGCTCAAGACTACAACCAACATGTCATTAAGGTCAGGGGTCCCCAACCTCTGGCCCAGGACAGGTCTGTGGCCTGTGAGAAAGCAAGTGGCACTCCATTCCCCACTGCTGTCACCAATGCCGGAGCTCCGCCTCCACTCAGACCAGGGTAGACCTTCGATCCTCACGGGAGCACGGAGCCTACTGAGCTACACTGAGCCAGGGGTGTCTAGGTCACACGCTCCTTCAAGTCAAGTCCGAACCATCCCCAACCCATCCCCTGGTGCCCAAAAGGTTGAGGAGCACACATTAAAATGATTTAAAAAAAAAAAAAAAACCCATCAGGCCATCTCCTATAGGAACCGTGGTTCCTTTTCCTTATTTTTCATTCTTCTTCACATGTGTTTTACTATCTAGGGAACTAGTTGTAACTTCTCATACACAGAGCTCCACAGAGTTTTTTTAAAAAGCAAAGTATGAGTCAGCTAAGCCCTGATAACTTAAGCGGCGTCTCCTCGCGGAGCTACCCTGGGAAGAGCCCACACGCTGAATTCAGTGAGCGCTGGAAGGCAGCCCTCCATCTGCTTACCACGTGTGTTGGTGGCCATGTCAGCCACTTTCTGAAAGGCGTCCAAGAAGGCAGCTGCTGCTACTACTGTTGTCCTAAAACGCAAACAGATAACAAAAGCCTGAGGAATGTCTCATACTGGCAAAGTCATTACTGCTCAAGGGCTGAAAGCACAGCTCCGGACGGCACGAAAGCTTCCGAGAGAAACACTCCAACTGGACACAGACAGCCCGGGCGCGCCGGCCCCTCTTCTTCCCTCCACGGCAGCTCGATGTCTAGTTACCCACTATTAGTCAACAAGTACAAGTCCTCCTCCCTCTTCCCTTCCACTATAAAGCCACCAGGCAAAATTCTGCAAAGGAGGAAAAGACATATTATTATCCAGGAGAGGAACTGTGACAAAATATAAATGGTACAGGAAACCAATTTTAGAATAGGAAAATAATATATACACACATAAATTGGAAGAAGGATCAAATTGGGAGAGATCAGAGAGAGTAACAATTCACTGTAACGAAAGGAAAACTGAGGCCACAAATCCAAAGGGACTTCAAAGACCACTAGTTCATACCAGAGCTGGGACAGTGAGCTGGCCCAGTTCAGCCCCACACAACACAAGGTCCTGGGAGTGTGACTCTTCTCTCTAAATCCCAATTAAAATGAACTGAGGTTTTTATTTTTTCAATTAGGATCCTATTTAACTGTACCGTCTAAAAGCTGAAAAATGGAGAAAATTTACTATGTTTGCATTACACCCTACTAATTTGTTGTTGTTGTTGTTGTTTGTTTTGTTTTGTATTTAGTACAGAGTCTACAGAGTCTCACCACGTTGATCGGACTCATAGTGATCCTCCCATTTTCAGCCTCCCAAGAGCTGGGATTACAGGTGCGTGCAAGGTCCAGTCTCAATCACCATCTCAGCGTGCCCCGGGGGTGGGGAGCCAGCACGGCCAGCCGGGGATCAAACCCTGGCTGCTGCACTATGCCTGAGCAGGTGCTTTAGTCCGCTGAGCTATCTGGCCAGACCCTACAAATATTTTGTATTCTTAACATCCTCTTGAGTGCTCTATGGCTTGCTGGTCCCCAGAGGTGGGACCCAGCGTGGCATGCAATGAAGGACAGGTGACTTCCATGCCACAGCCATGACTCCAAGCTAACAGGCCCCAGAAGTAGCACCCAAGGTCTTCAGAACAGGACTCAGAGCATGACACCAACCGCCCAGTATGTCATGTATTTCATCTGTGACGTGAGTGTGACCGAACACGCCTGAGAAAGTAAAGTTGCTTAAGAAAGAGTAAGACTAAGGACTAGAAAGCAAAGAGTTCAAAATGGAGACAAAAGGAAAAGAACAGTAATGGGGCCATAAAAGACAAGGTTCCTGAACAGTGCCACAACTGGTCCCCTAGGCCAAACTTCAAAATGAGGCCTGACAGTGTCCAGAAGAGCAAGAAAACATTCTGCTTAAATGAAAAATGGCGCACACACACACACACACACACACACACACACACGCAAAATTCTACTCTGAAGCATATTTTTTAGAGTTGACATCAAATGTTGACCTCAAATCCCTGGAAAAGTTAGCTTTCTCTAACACTCAGGGACTCATCAGTAGCTCATCATGATCGACAGTGAACACCTGACATAATGGCTAGATTTATCCTCACTGGACTTGATGTCAATCGTCCAAATCTCATGGGCCAGGGGCCAGGGGCTGGGGAGATGGCTCAGTAGAATAAGCGCTTGCCTGGCAAATGCAAGGGTCTGAGTTCAATCCCCGGTTCTGCCAAAAAAAACAAATCTCATGGGCCAGATATGGAGGTGCCTTGCACAGAACAGTCACAGGGCTCCAGTGTAAATTACAGCGGTGGCTAATTTTGGGGAAGTAAGGGCCTTTCCAGCACAGTCACACTCCACTTCCTGACACAGTCATAAGACATGCAGAGTGATTTTGAGGCTTACATGCTTTTTCTGCAGTCTTTATCCCTTTTCTAATACAGAAAATTAAACTCTGAGCCACATGCTAGTACTGACAAAACAATAAAGAAATGGTCCCTGCCCTCAGGAGGCCTAAATGTTTTATTAAAAATGAATAGGGATTCGATCCCCGGCACCACATGCTATGCTGGCCCCACCCCAGGGGCGCACTGAGCCAGCCACTGAGCCCGGGCGTGGTGTAATCCCAGTGCTGGGGAGGCTGAAGCAGGAGGATCACTATGAGTCT